ATTTCTCTGAAAATTTGGTAGTTGTAGATCATAATGGGTCCCAGTTCGTGTGGCCTTGCATGTGTAGGTCCACGATTTGGTATAGCCCCCATATAACGGTACCTCCCGATATTCGGCATTTCAATGGTTTTTGCCACATTTCTTCTAATGTTTCCTTTACCCTAAGGTGGAGGGTATTTAAAGTTTGGCCCGGCCGAACTTAATGTTTTTTTTTTTTTTACTTTTGTTTAGGATGGCAGGTATTGAAAATGAGATATATCGGTCCAGGTTTTGGGATAGCCCTCATATAACGGTTACAAGTTCAGCCTGGCCAAAATTAATGTCTTTTTACCTGTTAAAACCACCACCTTGGAAATGTGGATATATTAACTTTGTTATTTCATTCATGATCAGCATAAAATTCTAAGTCGATTTGACGATGTGCGGCTGTCTGTTGAAATCACGATACAGCCCACATTAATTGATGGAGACCTTCAAAATTTGGCAGAACAATTTGTATTATATCTAGGATGATTGTTATTGAAACTGAGATATATCGGTCCACGTTTTGGTATAGCCACCATATAACAGTACCTGCCGATATTCGGTATTTTGATGATTTTCGCCACATTTTTTCCATGGATTTGTCTAGAAATTGGTATGTATACGTAATAATGGGTTCTAGACTCACAGGCGAAAAATTGTATGTATAGGGCCACGTTTTAGTATAACCCCCATGTAACGGTACCTACCGATATTCGATATTTTAGTGATTTAAGCCACTTTATTCACCGGAAATGTTTCAAATTTGGTATTTGAAGTTCGTAATGGATACTACAGCCTACGATAGAAAATTGTCCGTACAGGCCCACGCTTTCGTGTAGCCCCTATATAACGGTACCTCCCGATATTTGGTATTTTGATGATTTTAGCGACATTATTCACCGGAAATGTTTCAAATTTGGTATTTGAAGTTCATAATGGATACTACAATCTGTGACAGAAAATTGTCTCTGCAGGTCCACGTTTTCGCATAGTCCCTCAATTACGGGACCTCCCGATATTCGGTACTTTGATGATTTTTACGACATTTTTAAACGGAATTGGAACAAATTTCGTATTTAAATGGGCACAATGGGTACTACAGCCTATGACAGAAAGGTTGACGTCTTCAAATTGCGGAAAGTATTAAAAGTTCGGCCTGACCGAATTTAGCTGCTTTTTTACTTGTTTTTGTTTTTTTAATTTGAATGAAAGCAAAAAATGTCGCAAATGACATCAAATTTTAGAATAAGTTTGGATTTGTTCGAATTGTTCACCTTTGGCACGAATTATGGCCCATTCCCGGCGAAGCGCTTGCTTGAGATGATTGACACTTTGGTATTTTTTAGTGCCAACCTTGCTTTCCAAAATACTCCAGACACAATAGTCTAACGGATTGGTATCCGGAGATTTTGGTGGCCACTGTGCGCTGAAAATGAAGCGAGACCGCATTTTGTAACCATTTTTGGGCGGCGCGTGCTGAGTGCGATGGTGCTGAGTCCCGTTGGAATATCCAAGGTCTACGGTCAAAATGTTTGCGTGCCCAAGGCTTTAATACACCCTCCAGGATATTTTCGCTATAATATTCTGCATTTATTCTGATGCCACGGTCGATTTATACGAGCGGAGAGCGACCATCGGCAGTTATGGCGGCCCACACTATCACCATGGCCTCTTTTGAGTCTATTTTCTTTCTGTTGCGGTGTAAGTTCTTGCACTTTTTGGAATTTCCCCCCCACCCCCATTACCCCATTTTATTTGCGTTTATTCCATTGCGTTATTTTCAGAATGGAATATTGCGATATGTTCAGCTCACCATTCATTTTTCGGCCACTGCGTCGCGTGTTTTGATCAAGTCGCTTCTTTACTTTTCGAACCATTCCTGCTTATGTTACTGTTTTCTTTCGTCCACTTCCTTGACGTCGGGCTACGCTACAAGTATCACGGTAACGAGCGATGGTACGAGTCACAAAAGATTTTTTAACATTTAAATGCTGGAGTGGTCTAACGATAGTCACTTGTCTTTTTCCAGCCAAGTAAAAAAAAATTACACTATCACGCTTGAATTCAAATCTTCTTCAATACCAAATTTGAGACAGTTTCGTTGGTGAATGTGACTAGGATTATCAAAGTACCGAATATCGGCGGGTGTCGCTATATGTGCGCTATAAGAAAACGTGGACCTTAATATTCAATGATTCGCCACCAGAGCTAGAATACATTATGACCTACAAATACCAGTTTTTACACAAATCCGAGAAAAATGTTGCGAAAATTATCAAAATTCCGAATTTCAGAAGGTACCTATATAACGGTACCTATATAGCGGCTATACCAATGCCAATAATCCCAGACACAATAAAAATTGTTTTGCCAAACTCTACGTCAAATAATGTGGGCTGTATCGCGATTTCAAAAACAAAGACGGACATCTTTAAATCCACGTAGAATTTTATGTTGATCACGATACATACTCTGATAATCACGCCGAAGAATATAAGAAAGCTTTGTCTAAAAAAAAAAAGAAAAACATCGATCTCTTCCAATCGTATCGTCCACTGCTTTTAACCTGGACTTTTCTATCCATGTGTAAATTACCCACTAATGTTTTAGCTCAAATATACAAAGTATATTAATAATTCTACATTACTTTTAATCAAAAAAAAATATTTTTTTATGTTGGCTTTTTGTAGAAACAAATATTTGTTAATGGTTGTTGAGAAAAGAAATATCAAACACAAAAACATGACTTGTTATACAAATATATTGGAAATTGTAAACATATTATATATACTTGGAAAATAAGTATTAATTAACATTAACACATTGTTTGTTACAAATCAAACAAAAACTATCAAAGGTGTGTTAAGTCAACGATAAACGAATTTCTAGGCTCTATTCTTTATTCCTAATTTCCAGATAGAATACAACATGTTATATACAAGATAATTTACTGAGATGTAAAATTTTTATTATTTACTTTGATTTTATTTAAGTAACAATAAATTGAGAAAAACAAAAAGAGAATTTTCCTGTAAATGATTATTTCAAGAGGTAAGTATTTATATTGAATACAATAACTTTATGACTTTCTAAATTTGAAATAAGTTATTTTTTCTCTAAAATATTTTACAATTTATGGTTAATAAAAGTTTATATTACCAAAAGCAACGCCAAAGCACGACGAGTTGTTTTAAAAACGCTGATATAATGCAATTAGCACCTGTTATTATCTAGATCTACAAACCAATTAAAGTTTTGAAATTGGCCCTCCCGCATTTGGAAGGGATTTGGAAATTTTCAAAACAAAAAAAAAAAACGTTGAAAAACACATTTAAATTCATAAAAATACTGAATATAGGGATTTGCTGTTATGTTGGGGTCTGTACGAAGACGTGGATCTGCATCGGCAATTTTGCTATAGGTCATTGCAATAATCAAATACAAAACTTGAAAAATTCGGTGAATAATGTCGCAATAACCTCAAAAGTACAGAATATATGGAAGTACCCTATAGAGAGGCTATAGGAAGACCTGTACCTCCATAAGCATTTTTCTGTCACAGGCTGTGGTACCCTTTACAAACTTCAAATTCCAAATATGAAAAAATTTCGGTGAATAGTGTCGCGAAAATCGTCAAAATACCGAATATCGGGAGGTACCTTAATATGGGGGCTACACCAAGGCAAGGACTTGCACAGACAATTTTCTGTCATAAGCTGTATTATCCATTACGAACTTCAAATACCATTTTTGAAACAATTCCGGTAAATAATGTCGCTAAAATCATCGAAATACCGAATATCGGGAGGTGTATACGAAGACTTGGACCTGCACAAACAATTTTCTGTCTTAGGCTGTAGTATCCATTACGAACTTCAAATGCCAAATTTGAAACAATTGCGGTGAATAGTGTCGCTAAAATCTTCAAAATACCGAATGTCGGGAGGTACCGTAATCATCAAAATATCGAATATCGGGAGGTACCGTAATATGGGGGCAATACGAAGACGTGAACCTGCACCTATAACAAAACATGGTCCATTTTAAATACCTGCAGACATAATATACAATTGAGTAAAATGTTATCAACCTACTTCATTCCGTTCGGAAGCTAGGGTGATTTCCACAGACGGACGGACATCGCTAAATCGACATAGAGTTTTATGCTGTTCAAGGATCTATATACTTTGTGGAGTCTAACACGTATATTTCGAGGCGTTACAAACGGAATGACAATCTTAATAAACCCTCCTTACCATGGTGGAGGGTATAAAAATACTGAATATAGGGAGTTGCTGTTATGTTGGGGCAATTTTTTGGCTATAGGTCATTACAGTAATCAAATGCGAAACTTGAAAAATTCCGGTTTGTAATGTCGCAATAACATCAAAATACTGAATATGTGGAAGTACCCGAATAAGGAGGCTATTTGTATAGCCCTGTACCTCCATAAGCATTTCTCTGTCACAAGCTGTGCTACCCTTTACGAACTCGAATTTTATACAATTCCATTGAATAATGTCTCAAAAATCTAGAAAATACCGAATATGTGAAAGTATGGTTATTTGGATGTAGAACAACATACTCAATTTACTGTCACCGGTTCTAGTACTTGTTAAGAACTTAAAATACTAAATTTTAAAAAATTTCGATGAATATAGCCGCAAAAATCATCAAAATACCCAATATCGGGAGGTGTTATTATATGGGGGCTGCACAAAACGTGGACCTATATAGCCCATTTTCAATACCAAAAGTCCTGCAGACGTGAAACACATCCGAATAAAATTCTATCAACCCACTTCATATCGTTCGGAAGCTAGATAGACAGAATGACGGACGTCGCTGATTCGAAATATAATTTTATGGTTATGTAATAGGGTGCCCCAGGAAATTAAAATTCCAAAATGGTTCTAAATTAGAAACTGTGTCCCAAAACTTACCTTGAGCAAATACATAAGAAATACGATTGATAATTATTTTATTTTCTATAAAATCGATTTAAAAATTAACCTCCATTTATGTATTTCAGTTTTTATCACTCCGACAAATAACATCCTTTTTGAAGTAAATTATAAGCTTACATATGAGTAAATGTTCATGCATTTTGGGCGATATTGTTTTAAATTTTACGCGCTCTACGCCAAAGGCAATAATATCCCAGCACATGAAAGCCAAGGTAAATTCCAACCATTGCCAGCAGATTAACGTATAGGTTTCGCTCGTCAAAACTGTATTTGTTCAGGACATCTGTGCCGGTGTGGAAACAGGGCAGGTTTTGGCTCTCCTCGAAACAGGCTGAAATAAATGAAACAAACATTTGGAAGGTCACAGTTTAATGAATATTTACCGACAAAAAAGTCGATAATAAATGTTTCAAAAGCTTTACGGACTATGCCTTTGCGTAGTGCTCAAAGAGCACAAGCATGAATATAAAAATATGTTTTCCTTTTTTATCTGTTGGTGAATTCATATTAAAGTGTTTGATGAAATAAGTTGTGTGGAGGAGAGGGTGAAATGAAAAATCTTCTTTATTAGTATTTTACACCTGACTGGACTTACTTATATTCTGTATACCCGACCATTGTGCTATGGTCATTGCTTCATTTGCATACAGCATCCACGAGAGAAACTGGGTCCAGTAAAATGCCCATGGCAAAGTGCTGCAATAAACAAGTATGGAATATCAAAATAATTTACATTACAGAGGCAAAGGGCTGACATTCATATTGTTAAATTAGGTACATCATTAATTTATTGAGAAGTTTAAATGTGTGAGAAGTGTATATAACCAAGCGACGTAGATTAAGAAGCCAATTGCTAATATAATTAACAATTGCTAATATAATATACAAAGTGGCATTTTCATATTTATATTTTATATTTTTATGGCATACTTTAAGGAGCTCCCAACAATTTTTATATCCTACAAAAAATTGTATTGAGAATTTCGTAAGTTTGATTGGGCCAAAAACAATTTCGTTGAACGATGAAGAGTAAATTGTCAAAATACCGAATATCGAGAGGTACAGTTACATAAGTACTACACGGAAACGTAGACCTGTATAAATACCTTTCTGCCGAGAAGGCGATACCTTTTGTCGACTCTACATACTAAATTAGAAAAAAAAATCCAGTGAATAATATGGCCATAATCATCCGCAACCGGAGATCGTTGGGGTCTACAGCGTGAGATAAAAAACTGCAACCAACTTCACACTGCTGTAATTTCTAAGCCACTCGTCCGACAACTGCTAAAATTCTTCCTGTGACAGCTCATTATATTGTTTACAAGCGTACAAAAGTAATTTGGTGAGAATTTTCCAGAAAAAAAGTTATTCGTGATGGAATTCCAGCGTGATAGTGTAATTTCTTCATATTTGGCTGGAAACCACCTTTAAATGTGAATAAATCTTTTGTATCTCGTATCACCGTGATACTAATAGCGTAGCCCGACGTCAAGGAACTGGACGGAAGAAAACAGCAACATCAGCAGAAATGGTTCGAAAAGTAAAAAAGCGACTTGATCGAAACCCGCGTCGCAGTGGCCGGAAAATGGCTCGTGAACAATATTCCATTCGTCAAATATTGAAAAATGAGCTCGGGGTAAGGCCATTGAAATTCCAAAAAGTGCAAAACTTCCACCGCAACAGAAAGAAAATAGACTCAAAAGAACTAAAGAGTTGCTTCGCTTGGCCGAAAGTGGTGATCTGCCGAATTTGGTTTTTTCCGAAGAGAAAACATTCGTTGTCCAGCAGTTTGTAAACAAACAAAATGATCGTGTTTACTTGCCAAAGAGGTCAGCTGAAAATGTGGACCTTCGGTTGGCCACCAGAACTCAAGCGCCGGCTATGGTGATGGTGTGGGCCGCCATAACAGCCGATGGTCGCTCTCCACGCGAAAACATTCTGGAGGGTGTATTAAAGACTTGGGAACGCAAACATTTTGGCCGCAGACCACCCACGATCGGGTACAAAATGAGGTACCTCGCTTCATCTCCAGCGCACAATGGCCACCAAAATCTCCGGATACCAACCCGTTGGACTATTGTGTCTGGAGTATTTTGGAAAGCAAGATTGGCACTAAAAAACACAAAAGTGTCAATGATCTCAAGCAAGCGCTTCGCCGGGAATGGGCCAAAATACCGCAGAGCAAAATTCGAGCAGTGTGTGACGGTTTCATTGGCCATTTGAAGGTCATAATTCGTGTCAAAGTTAACCAATTCGAGCAAGTCTAAAGATATTCGAAAATTTGATGTTATTTCCGACACTTTTTGCTTTTATTCAATAAAATTTTAAAAAAAGGTAAAAACTCCGGCGTTTGACTTTGTTACAGTTTTTTTTTATCTCATTCTGTAGATAGATAGAATTGAAAGACATGAGCCGAGCTAACGTCAAAACGGATTAATACGTTCCAATTTTTTTTGGACACAACATGAAACTGATTGTATTTTTAGGTGTTGTGCTTAAGTGTTGCATTTTCCTATTTTGAGAAAAACACTAATACATGCAGTATTCCTGCATAGTTTGGAAAACGTCTAGAACATTTCAGCGATAATTTTCGAATAAAAAAATAAATCTCTAACATCCTAAAATGGCGTATGGAACACTTAAGCATGACATGCGACAATTTGTACACCTACATACATGTACATACCTTATTTGAATGAAAATGCCAGATGTTATCATTATTATGTAATCGATGGGAACCAAATAGGCCATGGCAAACGGCAGCGAATTGAATGCCGTGGAGAAGAAACAACCACAGGCCGTGGCAACATTCATTACCAATATCACCGAAATGGCCGTTATCAAAAATGCAAAAAATGTTGGACGTAAACCGGCCACAAAATAGCAAATTACCACGAACAGAAATGGCTCCAGGATCATGCCAGGCAGCTGGAAACCCAAAAAAAATGAAATATGTAATGTTATATATCCATCAAAACAATCACTCCAACTTACCATGGCGCCTATTGTGGCTATGTAATATTCTGCCGTCGAATACAGGCCAGCACGTTTCTCTCGCATAAACAACGGAAACCCTTGAGGAAAAACATTAAGCACCGTATACATGGGATGGAATGTGTTTTCCGAAATCATGACAAATAATGCTCCCTGCACTGCCTGTACACCCATCTGATCCAGCTGGGTGGTGCCAGCGAAACATAGGCCAATTATAATGGCCATGGCCATTTTCTGGAAAAATCTCATCCATTGCAGTTTGGGATCTCTCAACAGACTCAGGGTATATCTGTACCAAATAACAAGTATTTTATTATACCACAAAGCCGATCGGAAGTTGTCGACTTCAGTGTCGAATGGGTATTCACCCGTTTCGGCCATGTGAATTTCCAAATTCACCAACATATCTCTCTGTTTCGCTGCCGAACTAACGGCAAACAGATCACACATATATTGTGCTGATCTCTGAGAAGCTTGTTCATAACCGGGATCTGTGGCCAGTACTCCGATGAGAAAATCCGCCGGATTATAAGCCTCCGGGCATGAGTACCCGTTTTGGGCAAAGAAATCCAAAGCATTCTGCGGCGATCCAGTAAAAGCCACCCTACCATCGGCCAACAAGAGAACATTGTTGAACATATCGAAGAGCTGGGAAGATGGTTGATGTATGGTACACAGAATGGTCGTACCCTTTTTGGCTAAATCGTATAGTGTCTGCACCAACTGTTGAGCACTGTACGAATCGAGGCCGGTTGTTGGTTCATCGCAAAACAATATGACTGGGTTATTGAGCAACTCGACGGCAAAGGCAAGACGTTTACGTTCTCCGCCAGATAAAACTTTTTCATCGTCTCCAGAACCAATGCGGGAGTTTGCCGCACCCAATAGGCCAGTGCGTTCCAAAAGATCTTGAATTATCATTTTACGTTCCTGTTTGCTGACACGACGATCCAAACGTAAATTAGCCTAAAAGTATGCAAAGAAGAACATACGTTTTTTTAGGTTAAGTACATTTACCTACAATATGAGCACAATAGAAAGGTACACTTTATAAACAGAACATTTGACTTGCAAATAGTAGAAAAATAAGTTTGCTGAACGGGTTATAGAAGTTTTAAAAAATCAGTCGGTTTTGTCAACAGATGTATACTCCCGGCCTTGAGTTATGATTATTCAAACTGTTGACCCTTTATGGTATTCGTATCTGACCTTAGACCTAAATATTAAGATGTGCCAGATTTGGACTATATCGACAACTTCCTATACTTTATATGAGTTATGTGCAAATTTTAGGAAATGTTGAAATATGGGTGAGGTAACAGATTAGTGGACTGAAGAACTTCATTTTCATACTTCATATAATACAGATAAAACAAGATAAAAAGTATCAATCGGTCCTGCCGACAGACTAATACCCTCAGCCATTGTTCGATTATTTGAATATATTTTGACTTCTGTTATGATTATTCAAATTGTTGACCCTCTATGAAGTGGGCTTTGAGGGAATGAGCCAATATTGTCTATTAAGTATCGGATCTAAATAAATAAGATATAAATATTCACTTCAATTTACATAACACATGTGATAATTTTTAGAAAATGTTAACATGTGCTTGAGGTACCAGGTATAGTCGACTAATACAGATAAAAATATTAGTATATTCAAATTTTGAAGGAAATCGAACATTTATATCCAATTATATGCGAAATCATAAATTCCATAATTATCCCAACTTTCTGGTTAAGAGAAATATTTAGATATAGCAAGTTGTAAAGAATGTCGATTTTTTTCCCCTTCCGGTACCTGTAAGTAAGGTAAGGGGTTCGCAGATATATATCATCTTCACAACAGATCCTGTATTAGCAAAAATATGTTGGATTTGCGAAATTTGAAGAGAGTCTGATGTTTATTTCGTTTACTTTGAGCGTTTTGTTTTTCTAAATCTTGAACCCTATGTAGGGGAGGTACCAGAAGGAATGGTCCGATCTCCACCATCGTTACAACAGATCGTATCTTGATAGAAATATTGAGATGCGCCAAGTCTGAATGGAATCGGATGTTAATTTCGTGTTTTATGAGCTTCACGAATATTCAAAAATTTGACCCTGGTCCTATCGGCCAACTCATTCTGGTATCTTCACACCGGACCTTGGGTTAATAAAAATATTGTGATTTGCGTAATTTGACGACAATGGGACTTTTATATCACATTTTATAAGAGTTGCAATTATTCAAAATTTTGACAATTTTTGGGGAGGTACTGGATGGAGTGAACCGATATAGTCCATTTTCGTATCTGACCTAGCACTGATGCAAATATTAGGTTGGAACAAAATCGGATTATCCTTTCTCTTTCTATGCAGTAAATTACGATGTACCAAGTTTGAATCACATCGGATACTCCCTTCGAGAGTTATGGTGTGCACCAGCCAGACAGTCAGACAGACGAACGGACGGACATCTCTAGATCGACTCTAAATATCCTGAAACGGATTTGGTCTAATAGATGTACCAGAGGTATCTTTGGAATTTCAAACTATATGCTTAATCAAAGTACTAAATTGACATCATTTGGTATTACGATAGAACTAACATCTTAACATTTGTCCTAAGAGTTAATTTTGGGAAGTAATGCTAGGTGTAAGAATTGTAAAAATGGTTCTAAATTTGGTACAATTCGGATTTGGATGAACGGATGTAGATGGAAAATTTGATATTCTGGTATTGGGAAAGCACCTGGCTTGTGGGTTGGAATAAAAAGGTACTTTTGGGAATGCGTATCGCAGGGTTACGAAAACTTCTAAATGCTACTAAATTTCTGATGTCAAATCTGAAAATTTACTTTTGGGTCAGTATTAGTGCATTCAGTTGACATTTGGGAATACGTACCTGAAAAGTGCGAAGAGTACTAACTAGTACTTAATTGGGTATTTTGGGAAAGAATAAAGTTAGAAATATAAAATTTGGTATTTGGTATATATGGAGGTGGATTTGGAAATACGTACTAAATAGTATTCAATTCAATCCAAAGGCTTTTTTTAAAGAATTTTTTCAAGGACCAAAGGACAAATAAACTTGGATTTATTAAAGAATATTTTTACAAGGACAAATAAACGTGGATTTTTTTATTTATTTTTTTTTCAAGAACCAAAGAATATTTTTTTGAAGAATATTTTTTCAAGGACCAAAGGACAAATAATCGTGAATTTTTTAAAGAATATTTTTTCAAGGACCAAAGAACAAATAAACGCGGACTTTTTAAAAAATATTTTTCCAAAGAACAAAGGACAAATAAACGTAATTTTTTTAAAAAATATTTTTTCTAACGCTAAAGAAATTGCCAGAAAATTGCCAGTGAGAGCTTTTTTTCATTTTCATTTTTTCCCCTCTCTCCTACAAAGAAAGAATTTCTGCCAGAAAACTTGCCTAATATAAATTCGGACTAGCTTCGCACAACGCAATGCTTTCACCTACATTAGATCTAGTGTGAATATAGAACTTACCGGCCCATTCTTTCTGGTATCTCAAACTTACGTCAGATTCGAAATGTAAAATATTAATCCACTTCCTCGGTACTATTCGAATAAAGTATCAACATTTTGAATCAATATTTTTCATCTTTTTAACTTGTTTACTTTTTTGTTTTGTCCGCTGATGTTCAATACCATTGCAACCTTATTATTTATAGTAAAATACACCATGTCTCTATTACAAGCATGAATGCTTGCTTAAGGCTGCTTTCCAAATCGTGTGAGAGTTATATGTAAAGTGATTTTTCACCCTTGAAAAAAGAACACTTTTGTAGCAGATTCTTAAGCACGACTAACAATTGTTAAGCCTGAACGAAATGCTAAACTATAACAAGTACAAAAGCTTAAAAACTCTGTTAACATTTTAAAAATACTGAATGTAGCCGTTTTTTTAGGGTCTATACGACGACAGTGGACCTGCGTAAGGAACTTTTGTCATAAGCCATTACAATACGGAACTTTGAAAAAATCGGTGAATAATGTAGCTCATATAGAATTTAGGTAGGAACCATTATATGGGGCTATACCAGAACGTGGACCTGCACAGACAATTTTCTGTCATAGGCTGTAGTATCCATTACGAACTTCAAATACCAAATTTGTCTCAAATTTGAAACGGTGAACAATGTCGCTACAATCATCAAAATACCGAATATCGGGAGGTGCCGTTATCCATTACGAACTTCAAATACCAAATTTGAAACAATTCTACTTCATTCTATTTCATTTCGTTCGGAAGCTAGAGTGATTCCCACAGACGTAGAAACATCGAAAATCGACATAGAATTTTATGCTGATCAAGAATATATGTACTTTGTGGGGTCTAAAATGTATATTTCGAGGTGTTACAAACGGAAAGACAAACTTTATATACCCTCCATAATATGGTGGAGGGTATAAATATATACACGGTATAACCCTATATAATATAAACAGATATATATATTATATTACTATAAAACTTTCCTTTCATGTAACAAATTGTGTGAATTGTGTTAAGCGCCTCAAAGTATGTTATACAAATGTTTAACATAAATGTGATAAATGTACCTTTACCTATGCCGCTAACATTATACATATACTAGCTTTTAGTAGCGAGAAATAAAGTTAGTTTTTTAAATGTTTTAAAGAATAAACCATAGTTTTCACCCTACCAACCTGAACAAGGTATTTTGATTACATTATCTTTTAATGGTTTATACTACAACCATTTGTGTGAATTGCTATATAATATCTACTGTGATTTACGAATATCTAGATTTGCGAAATTTTGAATTTTAAAATTAAAGTTGAAAATGAATTATAACTACTTACCATAAAATGCATGTGCTCCGACACTGTTAGATATCCATTAAACAAATCATCCTGATAAACAAAACCGCTTATGCGATGCATGAATGGACCGATGCGTCTGCCATTGATAAGAATATCTCCTTGAACTACCGTTCCAGCTAGAGATTAATTGATGTGAAAGTTGTCAGTATTTGTTGCCACAATTTATTTGTTGTTGTTGTTGTTGATTACCGCTTTATCTTATCAAGAAATGATGAGTTACGGAATTGTTATTTACCTGGTTGGCGATATGCAAGCACAGACATCAGTGTTGTTTTACCCGAACCACTGAAAATCACAAAAAAACACAAAACATATTTAAACGAGTTGTTTGGAAAAAAACGCTTTACTTTTTTATTTCAAATCATTCTAGTGCATTTTCTCGCCCCCACACACACTTCCATACATATTTATGTACATATCAGAAAAATACACATCATAAACTTGATATACTTTTTCTTATCTAGAATACACAAAAAGATGCTAAGAATATTTAATTCATATTATTGTTTTTATCATTGAAAATATTTTGATAATTTTGATATAATCACAAGAATAACAAAACAGTTAGACTTTGTCTTTAAATGCGTTAAATACGTATACCATCCACCATGCTGGTTTAGGTAAAAATATATTTCAAATCAGTTTTAGGTCATTTGGAGCCGATCTAGGGTTGTTCTGTCTATCTGGCTGGCTTGCTGATTCCCACGACAACTCTCGAAGGGTGTGTCCGATTTGGTCCAAACGTGGTACATCGTAATATTTTTGTCAAACTTACAACGAGTCCGAATATGGCCAATATAGGTCCACCCCACATTGTACAGGGTTGCCCATATTCGACAGACCTTTGGGCCAATTCCAATCGACGAGGCTTGTCCGCAGGCAACTTTTTTTGCGTCAATTGAATTTTGTACGGGAACAAATGCAAATCAATGCGAATAATCTGTTGTAAAGTAGACCGAGTCATGCCCAACTGCTGAGAACGGCGTTTTTGGGATGTTCTTGGGAACCTCTCAACACTGGCTCGTACGGCAGCGATATTCTCGGCCGATCGCCTTGGTCGACTTTTATATGGCCTCTTCGGATTAGAAAGACCCTTACCGGTCGAAAATTTTTCGTATAAACGCTTAATGGTGTTCTTAGAAGGCACACTTCTCACATTTTTTAATCTTTTAAAAGCACGTTGAGTTTTCACAATTGACTTCTTCTGCTGAATGTAAATTTCAGAGCCCTCGCGTGGCGTGTATTGGTTCATGGTAAAAATCTGCTTGGACTGACGCTTCAAACGCGGTATGTCATTAAGCGATGTGACATCTCTGTCAAAAGTTATGGCGTTGCCAGATGGGTCCGTCGAATATGGGCAACCCTGTACCTCCCCCCAAAAAATGGTTAAAATTTTTAATATTTATAACTCTTAAGAGAAATAAACATCCGGTTCTCTTCAAATATTGCGCATCCCACTATTTATGTCAGCACAAGATCATGTGTAAATATTTAACATATATGAACATTCCTTCCAGTACCTCCCACAACCACAACCGGTCAATATTTTGAATAACCCTAAATGAGCCTCAGATTATTTTCAAACTTGGCACATAGCAATATTTTTACTAGCACAAGACTTGGTGTGATGATGGAATATGTCAAATCTCTTCTTCCCACACAAGTAGTCAAAATTTTGAATAATTATAACTCTTATAAAATATAAAATAAGAGTTCGAATGTCTCTAAATTTCGTAAATCTAAATATATCTGTCAACACAAGATCTCACATGAAGAAGGAATAGAACGGATCACTACTATTGGTAGCTTCCTCATAACGGCTCCAAATTTTGAAAAACCACAAAACTTATAAAACGCTTAATGAGAATCCGGTTCCCACAAAACGTCACAACTTTCAATAACTATATCAATCATAACTCGTGAAACAAGGGAGAGATTCTTGTAGTATCTAAATATTTATCTCAACCAGAGATCTGAAAACCTTCTGGTCTCTCATTCACAAAAGGTTAAAATTTGGATTAACAACTATTCGCATAAAATTGGAAATAAATGTTCGATTTTCATTAACGTTTTCATCCAATATTTTTATTAGTATTGGACGAAGTGGAATACATCGGTCCACTTAATGTAGAACATTACATTTTCCAAACATTATATCTTGTCTCATATAAAGTGAAGGAAGTAGTCGATATAGTCAAAATCTGTCATGTTGTAATATTTATATCTGACTTAGGTCAGATACGAATTAGAAAATATTGGCCTACTTCTTCAGTACCATTCGAGGTCAACATTAAAATAATCATAACGTAAGTCAAAATTCATTTTGATAAACGGACATTGTTTTTATTTTTGTCTAATTCTTTCCAAACGGTAGAGGGTATTAAAAGTTCGGCCCGACTTAGGTACTTTTTATTTTTTTTAATCAAGTATAGCTTCGGGCCGTTCGCTGTTGTCCCTTTGAAGCCAAATGTGGTTGAATTTTTCTGAACAAAACTTTGTTCAACATGACCCGAAAACGTAAAGGCCACTTTTTGTTCATTTTGAAGAAGAATGTACCAAAATGCGCACGTTTTGGGTGCATCGGCTTTCCAATGCATGCGTGAGGTTTTATTTGCCGCAAATGTGACAATTTTGCTTACTTGCGTTCGGAGTTGACGAGGCTTCTCTTCTTCGAAAATCTGTATGCAATTTTCGCACACATACGTATACCCAACCATAGCCGTTCAGCGGAAGGATAAAGCTACTTATCTTTCAAATCAGACATAAGCAAAGTGTTACCATTTACGAAATAAGCACTAAGTTAAAAAATTTTTAACTTGCGGATACAGTGTATAATACATAATGGCTATAGCAACAATGTTTTGAGGTACAACACACTTTTTGGCCCAAGAAAAAAAAAACAACAAAAATATCAAATATCGATAGGTGGTATTATAAATACAAAAACTACCTGTATAGGCAATTTTCTGTCAACTTTCAATACTTCCGTTGAAAAATGTAAATAAATTCATGAAAATACCGAATATAAGATACGACAAGTTATAAAATACCGAATATAAGATACGACAAGTTATAAAGTATCAGTCCGTTTTGCCGACTTATGTATACCCTCCGTTTATTAAAATATATTTTTACGTGTATTATGATTCATCAAAATGTTGACCCTTAATAGGGGAGATACCGAATGAGTTGCCCCGTATTGTACAATTCGGATCTAACCTACGTCTAATATTAATATCGTTATAATTATTCGAAATTTTGACCATTTGTGGGGAGGGTACCAGAATGAGTGGGCCGATATCCCTGGTTGTAAAAGTATTGTGATATTCAAAGTTTGAAGAAAATCGTTGAGCTGGTTATAATAAGAGATAAGGTCCCGGAAGTAGTGTCCTTTATACCAGATCTTGTGGTGGTATAAATAGTGTTATGGCCGAAATTTTAAGAAAATGGGACACTAATTTCGCATTTTGTAAGAGATATGATTATTCAAAATTGTAAACTTTTGTGTATCGGAGTGAACCGATCCTTAGAATACTCTTAGAATTATACCCCACGCTCCACTGTGGTACAGGATATTGTCCAAATATTTAAACAAAGTGCAGGTCGCATTTATTGTCTGACTGAGATGTAATTTTCCACAAATCATTTGTATACCCCAAGGAAGAACCCTGTTGAAGTTAGTGATAATCGGATCAGATTTGGATGTAGCTCACATATATATCTTTAACCTATTTCAGGTTTATTGTGCACCAAATAGACAATATGAGCCCAAATGGAATGGATTTCGCCACATCCGATCATATGTAGCTTTAGACACGAAGGCCTCAAATTTTTATTAAAACACAAGAAACTCTTCCACAAAATCTGTTAAAAATTCGATATCCTCGATCATTGTTTTGCACGACATAAAGTACAAAAATGCTATTTTTTTGAAAATGAGACCAAATCGTTACGGCCCACTAAAGAATGGATGACTGGAGCCATGACAAAACTAAGAGACACATGGTTATATTTTCATGACTTTTTTCTAATTTTGATTTATCCGAATATTTGCAAAGAGGGCCAAACACATACATATACGACATACAATCTCCACATAATCTCGTTTACACCATTTTCTATTTTTCCAACAATTTTTTATTTATTATTATTATTATTATTATTTTTTTTGTGCACTAAGTGCGCATTCCAGTTAGGTATTGGAAACCGTGTCACTCTGGCACAACACGATGTGTACAATCGCATCTACATATATGTTTAAGTTATTGCTTATATAATATTACAACATTTTCAAGTCATTTACTCATATACATACAGTTCGTCAAATAAATGTTTCCGAAATGAAAATTTTGAAAATGTATCAAAAATGAATATTAAAGTCATGCACAAAATAATATACCGTGCAACAATTCAAATTGCAATTTTGTCTTTAATAATCGGCGTTTTCGATCGAAAAATAAAATTTTTTGTTGTAACCAACAAAAGTTGTTTTTCTAAATATATTTTTGCATTGCAAATTTAAAAATGAAATGGCTTCATTTTTTAAATTCAATGCAATATCGATTAACATAGTGCAACATTACGATAGACTGAGCTTATATACATGTCGGCAAAATGACCGAAACAAGTTCTTACCATAACACGTGTTTTAAGTTTTTTATCGAAATAATTTATTTGGCAAACTGTACAAGTAGGGCAAAGTTATGTCTTAGCTTCCACAAACTTACAACCGCATGCAGATACCCCTCTTACAACTGCTGCTACAGACTCACGTCCCCCACCCACCAAGTATTTATCAATGAATTTTCATAGATTGGAAGTAATCAAACCATGAATGATCGCTGACAACAATGCAGCAAAATGTGGATGAACTCACTAGTGAAGCAGGCGAATGAATGTAAAAAATAAAACTATTGATTACAATCGATTCGTAAAAATGAAATTTAAAACTTATTTGAATGGAAATGCTGAGCAATTGAATTGAATTCAATTATCTTCTTCTTCTTCTCTGTTTATGAAATTGCGAGGGGCCTTTGACACACAAGACGGCTAAAACTATAATCTCAAGATTTTATATCATCGATGGTAACGTGCCATTATAGAAATTTTATATGAAAGTTTCGAAGTCATTACAATAAAAATAGGCGCCTCATGGAAATAACGATTTAGGTATCTTCGGTCAAAATTCGAAGTCGAACTAGGCATGTTCGTCTGAATACTACTATCCAAGGAAGTATGCGATGTCCTTCAAATTTAGTGCATCCTAATAATTCTATGAAACTTAG